GTTACTTGAATTGTACATGAGGCTTCAGAAATCCGCTTTGAATCCGCGGGATAATCCGCTTTGAATACGATTAAATTGTCTTGAGAGTTAAGGTGAAGAAGCGAAATTCGATCTTTCATCTTTTTTTTCCCTTTGTATTAAAAGTACTCTTTTATTCCGTGTTTTATTTAAACGTACTTTGTACATTTTTTTTTACGAATGAGAACACAAAATGTTACTAATTCGATTTTTAAACATGGAAAATGACATGAATAATTTATCAATAAGCGCAATGGTTTTCCTCTCATATTGTGGTCACGAATATTGGAAAGTGGTGTAGTAGAGTTTTGCTTTTATTATACTTTTGCGACTCGCGGATGTAAAAACGCAATAAGAAACATAGTAAAAGGGAATACATGCGCAAGCGAATTTCCGCGAGAATGCATTTTATTTTGAACACGAAGTGGAACGAAACGAGAGAAAACCCTTTGCGATCTGTTCTCCACGGGGACAACCGATCAGGAAACCGATATTTTCATCGTGCGTGCTCACTCTCTGGTGCGCATTTATTTCGTACCCGTCCTGTCGTCCGTCGTCGAGCGCGCACTTTCATTGACGTACGAAGGTTGCACGGAGTCCTTGTCACGATGGAATTCGAAGGGCCGCACACTGACCTTGGGATTCTACCTGGTATCGGACGCGATGCGCCATGGTCGACCCTCTCCAGATGGTGGTACGGGAGATGAAACAAAAAGAGGCACGAACGTACACACACATCTCTCGATCGGTCCAGCGCTCTCTCTCTCTCTCTCTCTCTACTCGAAAGTGGGATTTGCGCGGCATCAAATTGCAGCCTCTCTTTAATGTTACAAAAAGAATTTAGAGAGCATATAAATTAAGCGAACGATATATTTGAGTCTAGAGGCGAATATAATCGAGAAAAAAACTAAAAAGAAACTTTGAATAAAAAATTTTGAGTAAAAAGCAATTTTCCCTGGAAGTTTTTTACTCGAATATATTTTTGGGAGCATTTTAATTATTTTGACGTTGTATAATATTATTATTCTAGAATTCAGTTTTCGCATTTATCCAAAAAATTTCTGTGAAAATATAATTATAAAAGTTAAATGTAATACAGTGTCTAAATGATTGACGCTGTTTTATTGTATATATATATATATATATATAAAAAAATATATATATTGTAATTGTACATATTATAAATAGAATGAAACAACGTTTATCGAATTATCTCCAACTATTCTTAAATCGATATTATATTAGGGCCTTATCTCAATAATTAAAATTTAGAATACCTACAATTACAATCAATATTACAATAAAACAGTACTAATTATGCTAATGAAGTATTATCTGTGTTAACAATAGTATTATTGCTTAGGTAACTTTTAAAATCGGAGTAAAATATTTGTCATTTAAATAATAATAAGCGATAGTGCACTTAAATGATTGATAAAGGATATTAGTTCATTTATAACGCAAGGATATTTCTGCTTTGATTTGAAATTAGAAAGACAAAAAGATATTAAATAATATCGAAATAACATAGCAATAAAATAAGATAGCAAACATTTTAACAAGGAATGCTAAAAAATAAAATAAATTTTATATCTTTTTCTATATGTTTAACATGAATTCTATATAATTTTTATTTTATATAAGCTAATTAAAACATCAGATTTTAGTTTAAAAAAATCAAAATTTTTTTGTTGTAAAAAATCCATTTTTTACTTGAATTTTTCTCCAAAGTAAAAAACTTATTTAAATCTCTATTTAAGCCTATAGTACAATGCATTTTTTTATATTTTAATAAATTTCTAGAAATTCTGTATTTTATGTGATACAATTTTAGTAATTTATTAAAACGCAAATAGTCTGACAAAAAAAATGTATGTCATAAGCTTTAATCATCGTTAACAAACTGACCTGTTTGTAATAAGAGAAATTAATTTGTTAATGCAAATGACTTGATAATTTCGGTTCGCATGCATTAAATGAAGGATTATCCTATGTTTACTTGAATACTCATGAGCGGCATTTAATTAAATCAGAATTTCGGTGAAAGATGAATAGAATGAAGTACACCAATTTGATTTTCGGATCTTCTGATTTAAATTTCTTGAATTTCTTTTCTTTCTTATGAAGATGTGTTGAGATGGATGTGTTAAGATATATTCTTACAAAGGATATGAAAAGATAAAAATTTTAAACTTTAATTTTTTTACTTCTAAGTTACTACTACTTTCCTACTTTTTAAGAGGAAATTTTTATATATTTGATAAATGTAATACGTGCCTATCACATACGATATATATATATATATATATATATATATATATATATATATATCAGCCGTATTTATAAGCGTACTAAATTATATTGATAAAACATTCT